TTGAAGACCCGAGTTTGTAGCAAAGATGTCACACAAGATATGAATGTTTTTTTGGGCTCAAACGAAAGAGCGGGTCGAGAAATGGCGTGCTAGGACCTCTAAAGATGGTTTTGAACCAGGGGAGACTCATAGACCCCACTGGACAATGTTGTCACAATTGCGCTTTTCAATTAAAAACAGATATCATCTTTAGAGAGATTTGTCATCTTTAAAGACTTCTGCACGCCATTTTTCTATAGAATTTTTTGGAAATAATGAAATAGGGGGATAACGTCTTTCTTTTCAGGGGTGATTTTTCAAAAATTTATTTAAAAAAAAGTACTAACTAGCAAATGTTTTTTATTAGCTCGCAATATTCAAGGTCATCGCCAAATTCACTTGGCACCCTTAACATCCACTGAACTCAAATCATTTGCTAGCTCATTTCTCTTCAAGTTATAATTTGGAAAATCCCATAAGACATGATCTATATCCATCATTAGGTCACCACAGTTACAAGCTGAGCTTACAATAATATTTTTCCTAAATAAATGGCTATTGAGTAGAGTATAATTAGATTTAATTCTGTTACATCTTGTGATTGTATTTGTAGCTAGATTTTCTTTTCTGAATCATTGTTTGTTACATATAAATTCTTTCACATGTTTGAAATATTTGATTCCTTTAGTATCTGTTTTATTTTCATCTGTCTGAGTGAATCAATACCGGTTAAAATCTTAAGTCACGGTCGAAAAAATTTAATAGAAAAACCTATCGAATTCGTTAGAAAATTCTATTGAATTTCTATTGAACTGATTAGGTTTTGGCCGATTCTATTGAAATGTTCAATAGAAAATATTACTACATAAATATTATTAATATTCTGTAGAAAAAGTCAATAGAATTCAATTTTTCTATATAACTTATTCTATTGAGATATTTTCTATAGAATTTCCTTGGTTTAAATTTTCAAAGTTTTTTCGTTTGATTTTCTTGATGAGAAGAAAAGAAAAATAGAATGAAAAAAACTTGGAAAATTTGAGTCGAGCAAATTCTATAGAAAATATATGAAAAGAATAAGTTATATAGAAAAATCGAATTCTGTTGACTTTTTCTATTGAATGTTTTCCATTGAACATGTCAATAAAATTAGCCAAAAACTAATATAAAGTTTAATAGAAATTCAATAGAATTTTCAAACGAATTCGATAGGTTTTTCTATCAATTTTTTTCGTGCGTGATGAGCTTTTCTTTAATATTGTGTATGCTTCCTCCCAATAGACTTTTACTTCTCCCATTATATCGTTGTCTTATCAAGCCAATTTTGCCAACTGATTTGCTTGTTCAATTGACAAACCATTCTGGAAGTGGAATAGGTTTTACTTCCCCCTCCACCAGTTGCAGTTGCTTGCATTCTCATTGACCGCAGCATCTGTTCATCACGTGGTATCCACCAATAGTACTTCAGCTGCCACGTCTTGCAGTGATGAAAAGCTACCTTAACACCCATTCCATCGTCACAACAAATACAACTGCCAGCCAGCAGTAACAAAGTTGGTTAAACAAACTTTGCAAAAGTGTCTCGTGAGTTTCGTCTTCGCGCTTTGTTTTATTAAGTCTGTGTAATTTAATCTATCATACATGTTTTGAGGTTAGAGTCTCCAATTGACATTTCAACAATGACCTTTCGCAGTCTACCAAATTTAAAAACAACTCCACAATGTGTTTTAACAGTGTTAATAGTATTTTGTTATGCAGTATCATTAACAATAGGTGAAAATGCGCCTGTTGAGATTGAAAAACCAGAGGTTGCCATAACATCAACGGTAAGTTCCCTCTCACCGTGTCCTTGTTACTGATTTACAACCGGCTTGTGAGAAAAAAATCATGAGTTTTATGTTGATTTTCGTTTGAATTGTGTTAGAGTAATAATTGTTATGGAAAATAATAACGTGGTTAACAAGTATTGCTTCGGAGTAGAGCAGGAGCGCAGAATTACGTCTGTTCTGACTGTGATGTTTATTTTGGAAATTAATGAATGGCCCTTGAAGAGAACGCACGCATGAAAAAATTCAATAGGAAACCTAGCGAATTCGCAGGAAAATTCTGTTGGAATTCTATGGGGTTTCTATAAGATTTCTAGTGCAATTCTATCGAATAATTCTACTTGTTTTTGGCGCTGATTCTATTGCATATTTGATAGGAAAACAACAAATAGAGAGAATAAATTTTTTTTGAAGAGATGAAATCAATTTTTGCAATAAAAATTTTCAATCTCGCACTTTTTTTTTGATAATTTTTAACAAACGATTTTTTTGCACAGTAAGACTTGTTCGAGAATTCTTATTGAACTCGGTCTGAATTAAATTGTAAATGATACTTAGATATCCTTAAGGGGTAACAGAATGCCGCTAATTTTCCCAATTTTTGAACAAATATCCTGCCAAAAGTTATCGATATTTTTACAAATCAAAGCGCATTCATTTCCACGAGGCGACGATGAAAATCAATGTGCTTTGAATTGAAAAATATTAATAACTTTGAGCAGGAAATTTGTTTGAAAATTTCGAGAAAAAGGTGGCCTTGTGTTACCCCTTAAAATTGCTGCGAACTGTATAATGGCCCCGAGAACTATTAAGAGTAAATTTTTATTACAAAACTCGCGCTTTCTCAGCCGTATAGTGTCATCACATCGAAAGATTCTTTTTTTTTTTTTTTCAAATCAGCTAAGTGGTAAAACAGTTTAAGTCGATTTAGCCCTTTGGTGAGTTTTCGAAGAATATCTCTGAATCTAAGAGAGATAACGAAATTTTTGTAATAATTTTTTTTAGAGCGAATCAATGGCTTCAAAAAAGGTATTGGGAAAAATTTTGCTATGTTCCTTACGTTTCGAGATTTTCCATGAAAACTGGTCAATAGTCAAAATCGACTTTGATCCCTTTACTGCTTCGCTATCGAAATACTTTTTGAATGAAAATACTTCAGTATCGCAAAAGCATTTAGTAATACATTTGTAGATTTTTCGTCTTCTCTAAATTACATTCTCAGCCAAGGGCGATGATCAGAATACAAAAATTTTCCGCACAATTTGAAATTGGCATTCATTATGGCTAATTTGGCATGGATCGTCCGAAAAAATATTATTCTGCACGAAAAGATGGGGTAAATTTGGTATCAACGCAGATGTTTTTAATAATAATTTAGTTAGTAATGAGTTTAATCATTTTTCAAGAAACATGAGGAGTCAACGGGAACAACTCCGGCTCAAGGGAGTCTGGGATTTCTCCATGCCTTCATTGCAGCCCTCTCTGTTATCGTTGTCTCAGAACTTGGTGATAAAACATTTTTCATAGCTGCAATTATGGCCATGAGACATCCTCGATTGACTGTTTTCATTGGTGCTATTAGTGCATTAGCGCTCATGACAATACTTTCTGGTAAATGTCCTTGGGGTGACGATATTTTATGGGTCTGGGAATCCAGGCGGAACCGATTCTCTGTTTTATGATGAAAATTTCTTAATTGCAGTGTTCTTTGGATATGTCGCTACTATTATACCCAGAGCCTACACGTATTACATATCGACAGCTTTATTCGCTCTCTTTGGGTTGAAGATGTTGAAGGATGGGTATTATATGTCACCTACGGAGGGTCAGGAGGAGCTCGAGGAGGTGCAGTCTGATCTGAGGAGACGAGAAGATGAGGTGCAGATCTTTTGATTACTTCATTTACAAAGCAAGGAGGGTGGGGTAATTAACTTCCTACAAGCGTCGATATCTGACGATTGGCTGAAAGAAACTTGAAGAAATTGCGGTCTCCTTCAGCTTTGAAATGAGACCAAACTCATATAAATTGCATCATTGGGTCGTGATATATTTCAATTTTGGAAAGGCGTTTTTCATTCTTTCTTTAAATTATTTGTTTTTTTTTCGGGGGCGTTATCACTGAATATCTTGAAATTCAAGGAAGCTATTGAACTTTTTATGAGGATCTTTTTTGGATTGAGTGCAATGGGACTTACGAAAAAGGTCTTTATGAAAATTATTGTCATGTTTCCTCGTATTAGTTTTTTGAAGTGCAAGTAACAGCTAACTTTGATTTTTTGAATGTTGGAAATTTGAATTCAGTTTAAGATCGAGTGATTTTGGAATTTCTTATTGATCTTAAAAATTCAACAAAATTGTTTTTTTTCATGTTGGCGATCAATGGTATTCCAACGAAATCTTGAATGTTGAAACGGATTTCAAAAATTAGACAACTTAGTTAATTGAATTCTGAATGGGTTGAAATTTCAGAAAAATATTTGCCCGAATTTCGGCGCTGTTCAATGAATTTCATAGATCTGAGAATTGCAATTCCATTGAATACTCTAGAAATTAATTAATTTGTCAACAACGAAATATCTGGAAATTTCATGTAAATTAGTTCAGTTAGTTAATTCGGTTAGTTCGGTCGGTTCGGTTAGTTGGTTTAGTGTTGTTAGTCATTGCTGAAAATTTCAAAAATTTTCGCATGAAATTTCAGGAGTTATTTTGTAACAGTGTACGTCAGCATGTTTCCTATATTAGCAACACGCACCGTCAGAATTCCGCAACCTCCTCCTCGCCCCTTCAAATTATGCAGACCTTTTACGTGAAAGGTCCTTGAGGTGGGAAAATGGACGGTTTGTGGTGGTCAATAACTCGAAATTGACACAGTGAAATTCACTCAACTGGAGATGATATTCTAGGTCTTTTTTTCAATTTCAAAATGCGACCAGGCTTGTCCAAATCGTATGGTCAAGTTGACAGATATCGACAATTCAGGGAAGTTTATTTACTCCTTTACTCTCTTTCCCCAGCTAATTTCTATTTTCGGGAAGTTCTTCCATTTCCGTGAGAACATTCTTTGTTAAGGGGTAACAGAAAATGGCTTATTCTTCAAATGTTTGAACCAATTTCCTACAAAAAGTTTTCAATATTTTTCAAAACCAAAGCATATTGACCTTTAGAAGGTTGTGATGAAGATCAATGTGCTTTGGCTTTGAAAAATATTGATAACTTTTTGTAGAAAGTTGGTTTAAAAATTTTGAGGAATCAAAGACCTTTTGTTACCCCTTAAGGTATGCCCCTAGAAAACAGGTTTTTCTTACGATTGTTCTCATGTTTTTCATAGATAATATTTATAATATTTCCCATGTATTGAAAAAAATTCTAACTAGTTGTACTACACAGATTAGAATAGGAGATAATAAATAATGAAGTGCGGGCTTAGTGCACGCGAGGCATAGGCCAAAACCAATAGCGAAGTGGTAAAACGGTATAAGTCGATTTTGACTATTTGCCAGTTTTCAATAAATATCTCAGAATCTAGGAGAGATGACAAAATTTTTGACCTTTTACATAGCACTCAATTCGCTCTACAAAAAAAGCTCATTACAAAAATTTCGTCATCTCCCTTAGATTCGGAGATATTCCTCAGAAACTCAGATGAGAGCTAAGTCGACTTGAACCGTTTTACCACTTCGCTACTGAAACGGCGGTTATGGGTGCTTCCGAATTCGATTTTTTCATATTATGCGAAAACGGAATTCTTACGATGTTCTTAAACAACGAATTCGTGGTAGATTGATAAATTCCGACTACGATGATTTTTTTATAAAATTTTATAATACATATTTTCTGCGATATTTAACTCTAAAAAATGGAAATTTCATGAATGGAAACAATTTTTTATTTACTTCAAGCAATTAAGTAACAAATAATTTCTTATTCGATTCAAACAGTTATTATTCCCTTCATCAACATTTGAGAATAGAAAAACTCAATAACTTATGAGAACGCAATAAATTAAGGCCCTTAAATTTTTTTCCGGAAATCCGTAGGGACTAATTTTTGCGTGGTATTGTCCTGGGATATATTTTGAGCAAAATAGGACTTGCAAAAGAGGTCTGGAAATTTTTTTATCATTTTCCCTAGATCCTTAGAGATATCCTTGTCGAACTGATATCAATGAGGAGTCAGGAGCTGACGAAGATGTTCAGTTTTTAGCCATCGTATGCAATTTTCAGATCTTCAACCGACCATTCCTGACAAATCAGACCAAAAACCGATCAAATTTTTCGACTGGCAAATTCTTCCACTATATCTCTCTTATCGTCCGTTCGACCCAAGCTTATCTTATATTTTTTCTATGCAGCTGGAGAGGGAGGTGGGAGCTGCAGTAGTAACACAAGACCCTGAGACAGGTGTGATACGGAAAACTCCGAAGACAACTGCTCTCATGCTACTCTCACGAATATTCTTCCAAGCATTCACACTGACATTTCTCGCTGAATGGGGCGATCGATCACAGCTGACGACGATAATTCTTGCTGCACGAGAGGTGATTTATTTGGATTGATAACGCCAGGGAATATGAGCATATTCATGAATAATGTGGAGTTTTGCATCCCTGACCACATTGTTTCAAATAATAAATTGCGAATTATGGTGAATTGTAAAACGTTCTTAATAATTACTTTTGAATCTGAGCAAGATAGAGAATATTTCCAAAGATCTTTTTTGTAAAGTAAAATCGGAATTACGAAAAATGTCCTTAAGGACATATCCCTGTCTCTTTAGATTCAATAATATTCGTTAATAACTTAACTCTGGCGATAATTAACTTATCTTGATTTATTGTTTTCCTCAATTTTTGCTAATTTTTCATGCTTTTTTTGAAATTATATTTATGGCGTTATTTTATATGGTGTTCCGCATCGCTGACCACATTGTTTCAATAATTTCGCAGTGAATAGTGGCATCGTTCTTAATAATTATCGTTAAATCTGAGGGAAATGGAGGATTTTTCTAAAGACTTTTTTGGGGAGCGAAATTATCATCAAGATTCTGAGGAAAATCTTCCTCTCTTCAGATTCAAAGATATTCGTAAAAAAGTAAACTCTGGGGAATATTAACTAATCTCGATTTACTGTTTTTCTCAAGTTATGCTAATTATTCATGTTATTCTTTAAGGATATTTATGGAGTTATTGTCGGCGGCATTCTCGGCCATTCGTTCTGCACTGGCCTTGCAGTACTCGGTGGCCGTATGATAGCTCAAAGGATATCCGTTCGAACGGGTAAAGTATTTTGTCAATATGTTGATTCTGATGCAACGCTTTTACTTCATCATCCTTTAACATCCAACGGTATCTAGATTGCTTTTTTTCGATTTGATCATTTAATATATGTCGAAATTTAAATGTCGAAATGGATACCCCGTCACTCAGAGATCCCCGAAAATTATGAAGGTGAATTGAAAAAATTTGTAATACTTTGGAAGAGCGTTTTTAATTAATATTGAGAAATGAGTCCAATAGACGAGATATAAGTAACGTATAAATACTGTGGCAAATGGTGGCCCGTCAGTCGCTAGCATGAGGGACGGGAAGACGCACTAAATAATAAATTGGCACACCGAAACTAGACGATTGTCAGAAAAAAGGCTCTTTGAAAGATTTTGCAATATTTTTACGCATTTTTTATCACACTTTTACGATAAGCTACTAATCACTTACTCTAATCTCCTCAATTGAAAATTGTACTGCCGATCATCTCTCACTAATCTAAATGTAAAGGAGATGGTAGAATTTCGGTCATGACCTTTTTTGTAAATCATTATGAAAATTTATTTATCTTCCTTAGATCCAGAAATATTCCTTGAAAATTCAGCTAAATCGACTCGGCTAAATCAACTTAAACCATTTTACCGCTTCACTACTAATATGAAGCAATTATTTTCTCTCATTTTTCTCATCAACACCTTCTCTTCCAGTTACCATCATCGGTGGGATTGTTTTCCTAGCCTTCGCCATCACCGCCCTCTTCATGGACCCCACAGAAAGTGTATAAATAATAATATTCCAAACAGTGAGAGCAAACTATGGTGATGCCAGAAGTCAAACTGTACTCTGATATCTTTCATCATGTCAACCTGGATATGTATTCCTACAGCTTATTACCGTACATCAATAACTACTCCATAGTATTAGCGAGTTATTGAACAGTACGTTCAAGTATTTCGCTGGGATCCAGTGTAAAGTGTATATTTTTATATTTCTATTTTCATTGAGAATGATTGTTTTTAGTTCCTTAACGATGTTGCCTCTTGAACAGTCACTGGTAACGGCAGTACTGTGACAACTCAATGTTGCGTGGAATAGGATATGACATTTGTAGATATGTGAAAAGATTAATTGCGGCGCAATCTTAGACGCGTTATCACTTACAGATACGAGTGTTTGAATTTCACATTGATGTACCTGTACTTCATAAATTTTTTTCCATGAACAAGGATTATTGAAAATATGCATGTAAAGTCATTGTAAATAATTAAATTCAAATCCAAATGTCATTTGCTCCTCTGTTTACATTTTTAAGGCACTCGTAGGTGAATGTCATTCTTAACATGACGATTATTTTTCTTCATTTATCATCCTTTTATTATTTAATTGTTTGTCTTTTAGGGGTACTCATCTAGAATCGCAAGTACTCAACAAAATTTTGATTTTTTTTCTGCAATTGATAGACAGATCTCTTTTTTGTTGATAAAAATTTCAATCCATCAACCTGAATTTACAAACAAATTTTGGGCGTCAGCATGCGTTTAAGTGGGACTTAAAATTAGGAATATCTGGATTATTTGGCTGGATACCCCGATTTTTTTCTTAACTTTTGGATTCAGCATATGTTCTTCACATTGCGCTCTATTTATTTATTAGTCCAGATATTCTTTAAAAAATTTATGAACAAGAAATTTTTATTTATGTGTCAGTTGAATAAAATTGAATTTTTTTTCTTAAATCTAAATACGTTAAGAGTGAATATTTACTCCTTTTTCAAAAAATACATGAATACATAACGATCATGAATGATGGATGATAGAAATAATAACACTGGGTTTGAATGTATTCTTAGATCTTTATTTAATACAGTAACGAAAAACGCTCATCTTCCGATCTATATTCTCAAGGAGTCACCTTATAAGTAAGACGTGAGTCAGTGCAGGCACATACCGGAGGAAAAGCCCGTATAGAAGTATCGACGTATTGCGACCAGGAGATGGCGCCATCCCACGAATAATCCAACGCTACCACCCCACATCATCCTTGTTTCCAAATAAATCTTATTTAAATTCAAGAAACAAGCAATACAGGATTTAGGTATTAAATTATTTATAAATGTAGAAAAAAATAGTACTGGCTGATTATCATCCTAATCACTGAAATGACATCCTCTCTCAGTATCCCAGTATCTTTTCCGATTTCTTCGGGAAAATGCTTCATCTATTTATCTCCTGTAAAAACACAAATTAATAATTAAATATTGAAATTCACTATTTCATCTGTGAGTTTCTTATGCAGTTCAAGTGGAAGAGTCTTTGTGAATATACCTGCATACTGATCTTTTCATTTGACCCATTGTATCACTACTAGATCCCTCTTTACACACTCTTTAATATGATGAGCTTTTGCGTTTTAGCTTCAATTGCGTGTCTCAATTTACTCCCTTCATTAGTTTAAACACTCATCGTAGCCATTTCATTATCGCACCATAATTTCATCGGCAAAGTAGGATTTATCACTATCAATCTAATCGAATTATAGATTGAAAGCATCTTTTCACTGGCAATGCTCATTGTCATATACTCAGCCTTACACGTGGATAATGCTAGTTAATTTTGTTTTTGTCTTCCGCATAATAGTATCACCGTATAGCTTTACAAATCTTTAAAGATCCACACGTGGTGAGCGAGTCCTTGCAATCAGCAAAACTCGCAACTGTAAAATTCTCAATTCCTCCAGATTCACCAGTGTATATAAGCTTCAGATTTATGGTACCTCTCAGATATCTAAATACTCTCTTTATTTATCATTCCCGAGTCTTCAATTGTAGGGTTGACCTGATGCCTACACAGGAGAGTTATAGCATATGTCTGGTCTGGTTGCACCAGCCAGATATAACGGGCGTCCTATTGGGTTACGATACGCAAAGCTAATCTTCGTATCATCTGGGACAACTGTCTCATCATTTGAATCTATTTCCTTTAAAATATTAGTGATAGGCAGATCCTTAAAACTTGAGTCTTATATGTGTTGTTGAGTTATCTTTCGTCACTGTCTTTTTATTTTGTGTTTTATTTGACTCGAAATGCCTTCAAGTCTAACATTGCCCTGTTATTTCTTTTAAAACGCTTATTTCAGCAGAGAACGGTGACACATTTTGACTTGTCTCTATGTAGGGTAGCTGGTCTAGACTGGGTTTTGCGACCCCAAATAATAACGTCAAAATGCGACTATTCATATGCTATTTTTCTGATCGTAGTACCATTCTCATCTTGAGGATTTTCTTCAGATATTTCCACTTCAACACTCTTGTTTGATAGTTCATTCTTTCCCTCATTATCTGTCTTCAGTGTTTCATCTTGGGTTTCATCGTTTTTGTTATCAGGAACTATTAAATTCCTAGTTGTCATTCTCGTACAATAACTTTTTGATTGAGTCTCGCCTTCAGCAAGATTAGCAATCACTCTCTTAGCTACTATATAATCTGATCTCCCATTACTTCTATTATTAATTTGCAAATTGATCATCCAATACGACCTTTTGTACACTCTCTTTAAAAAGGATTTATTCGCCTCTTTATTTACAATATCTATTTTCTCACTAAGTAGATTCCTAACCCCATTTCCGCTAATTTACTCAATGACAATAGATGTTCTTTAAGGAACTCCGTGAATACTACATTCTTGATTTGTACAGTATTCCCATAATTTAGTACTATTTCCATGTCACCCTCACCTCTCCATTAAATTTGCTCTGAACTTGATAATTATTCCGTTTCCACAATCAGTTGTGTTTGTGTGCATTGTCCCTCCTTGAACCTCTTCTTTTTCCTGAGCTAACTAACCTTGCTTCCTATTAATTTTATTATGATCCATCTTACCTTTGTTTGAGTACTTCTTGGCCGAATTTCGCCGGATTCTGATATCTCGCCTTATTTCTGTCGCTTCTCTTATCGTCACCGAGCCTTTTTCCTTCATATCTCCCTCTTTTCGCGTCTTCAGCATGCTTATGTTTGGCATTGTTCTTACGTTTTGGGAATTTTCTTAGCCCATCTTTCCCACAAGACTCCCATGCTGATTTAGATGAATGAGAGTACCCTGTCTTATGAGTATTGTTAGGCGTTCTGGATCTCTCTTCAAAGTCTGGACAGTCAAAGGCTTCGTGTCCAAACCTGTTACAATGGTAACACTTTGGACCCATTCCTCTATTTGGACAAATGTTTCCAAGATGCCCCGTGTCTCCACACTCGAAGCATCGAATCTGGCCTCTTTCCGTCAAGTTGGCATTTCTGTGTCCGACATCGCCACTCTGTGATTGCCTTGTCGATTCCTCTTCCTGTACCAAGAGACCCTTCAATTCAGAAAATGGAATATCAGTCCCTCTTGACTTACTTAACGCACATTCATAAGTATTAACTCCAGGAACTGAACCTTCAATGGCTCCATAGTACATCTCTCTTTTATGTTCATCAGAAAGAGGTCTGACACCGGGACAATTTTCATAGAGGAGAATTGCTCCTTCAAAGTTATCATTGCATTTTACTGCAGATATTTTATCAGGATCATATAACATATTACTAATAGCCCGTTTGGTTGCGAATGTAGTAATGTTAATTTCACTGTTTTTAATTGTAGTCAATGCTTCGAATATGTTTGAATCTTTAATTTGAAATACTTTCAAATGATATGACTTGTCCAAATGATTCATGATTATATCTCTCGCACTGAACTTTTGCTCTTCTTTGATTGTCTTACCTGTATCCGCTGAATATTTATTCTCGATTACATGTAGAACATTGTTTGATCGTAACTCACTGGTTAATAGATCATTAAAATGTTCAAATTTAGTGTCTTTATCTAAATTATTCTCTCTTTTGACAGTTGATTTTGTCATAATACCTAGTTTGAATATCTTTTCCAGTTGTTTCATTGGTGTAAGTCCCTCAATTTCTGCATTCTTCGATTTTAATTTTTGATTTACGATTCTACTGATTTCCTTTCTTGACTCTCTTATGTCCCCGGCTGCCTCTCTCGTTTCATTGTCGTTTAAATATCTTACCTGTCTCGTATGACTATCATCACTCTCATTGTACTCATCTTCAGACAGGGCCCCATCAACAATTCTTGAAACTCTATCCAGTTCCTGTTTCCAGCTCTCCATATTGATGAGTTTTTCGTTCATGTCAGTGAGGAATTTAGTGGTAGTATCCATCGACTGGGCAGAGTTTAAACACCAAGCCTTGATACTGTTTGCCAGTTCAAGAATGACTCGGTCTTGTTTTGCAAATCTCTCTTGAACTGATAAATCAGATTTATTTTTATTTGCAAGGGAATTTTGATTTCTACGGTTGGCATAGTATTTGTAAGGATTGTAGGTTGACAGTAGGTTTGGTTTTACCTTTATTTAGCCCCCGCATCAGTGCCGTATATTCGCTCTTCTTCATCGTGATTATCTCATCTTCACTCTCTTCCTTCTTGATCTGTTGCCTCTTGCTCTCTTTATCGCCTTCTTCGTCCCTCTGATTCTTATCCTTTTCACTTAACTGTAGACTTTCTGATGGAGCGCCCTCTGATGGCTCTGTTGGCAGAAATGCTGACGCTCCCAAGATTTCACTCTCGTCAAGCCACTCTTGAAGAGCAGTGCAGAGGTCGTTCAAAACTTTATCAGCTATAATGAATGCTTCAATTAGTTTTTGTCTCTTCCATTCTCTTATTAGATCTCTTTATGCATATTTCCTGACTTTAATTTATGTACACTAGATCACGCGCTTTTATTCACTAAACTTAATCCTAAAAATACAGTTTTTATTTCATCATCCGCGCTGGTCGGGGAATACAAGTTTGCGGATGATGGAAATGCTTGTCCCCACAATGGATGCGTGATTGCTTTTTCTATGATTTTGTGCTCTCAATTTGGACTTGTTACTTTATTCACTTTATGAATAATGATGCACTTACCAACGTCCTTGTCTTTATTATCATCTCCCTTGTTTTCCTCTCTTTTCCTCTCTTCGTCCTGACCGGCCATCGTCCTCTCGTGGCTTCACACTCTTTTGTCCTATTCTTTCACTTTTAACACTATTTTCTATTGCGCAGGTTAAGGGTGGGATGAGCCCATAACCTGATGGATGTTAAAAATAATAACGCTAGCTTTGAACACTCTTAGATCTTTATTTGATTCCGTAACGAAAAACGCTCTTTATCTTCCGATCTATCTCCTCAACGAGACTACAAGTTAAACGCGAGTCAATGCAGCCCTAAGGCACAATATGCACTTGATTTGGGGCTAAAGGCCCGTATAGAAGGATCGACGTGTATTGACCGGGAGGTGGCGCCATCCCACGGTAAATTTAACAATAAATAATATATATAAACTATTGGCCAATCAATGCGCGCGAAGCGCGCTCCCATTCCTAGTATTAAAATAAATTTGTTTATTTAATTATGTCCAAGCTACGGCAACTAATTTTTTTTAATTATCAAAAATGTTAGTTTCACTTCTTGAAACTCTTCTCGTTCCCCCATCATTATAAACAATTACAGAGTTTTTCTTGAACATGGGAAAATGAGATTTCCGGAAAATTGATAAAAATCCTCAAAAAATTATTAATTGGTATATCGCGCACTATTGCGACACCCCGCGCTTGTGTATCTACTGGTGCACGCCCAGATCTCGGGTCTGGTACTTTTGGCCCAAAGTTTTTTCGTTTAATTACTATTCGTCTAACATCAGTTCGTCCAATGATGATTTTAGTCCAATTTTTACTTCCGAATGGAAGCATATTGTAATCGCTCAAATTTAAGTTTTAAATTTTTTGTGTTATGTAGACCCATTATGATCCCAAAAGTTCGGAAATGCAATTTTTAGACCGTGCCCGAGCCGAAGGCGAGGGCTGCAATCATATGAGCTAGAAAAGTTTTTTTTGTCATTCCGGCCGTGAGGCAGCGCTTCACAAAATACTGTTCGCTTCACAAAATACTATTCGTCATACGGCCAAAAAAAACTCATATTCGCCAGAAAAGTTTTTTTCGGCCTAGTGACGAAATATACTATTTTGTTATGACGGCCGTAGGCAGAGCGGAGCGGAGCGTCCGTGAAGCGCTGCCTCACGGCCGGAATGACAAAAAAAAATTTCTTCAATTGTTCGGTAAAGAACAGATGGAACTTAATCTTTTTTTTTCAAATATAAGTATTTGTGAGCCCTATCGATCGCCATTCATTAAAATTGAATTCATCGATTAGTTTTTTAATTTCTCAATTTTTTTCGAAAATCGGTTGCCCCACGTTAACTAAAAAAAATGTTCTGAATAGATTGAATGATTAAATAAATTTGTCTGTGCGTCCCTTTGACCGAGTTCAAAGATGAAAGCGATAGCAATAATCGTTACTTTGATTTATTCGAAAATTTTCAAAAATCTTGTATTATTTGAAAATCAGAATTCTGGGGATATCTTTGAATATCATGCTTCAAATGAATTCAATCGTAGCTTAAAATGTTTGTTTTAATGCCATTAAGTCGAAGTTAAAAGATGATTGCGACGGGTATATATTGTTTGATTTGATTTTTATGAGGATTGTTGAAAATTTTGACGTTTTCATGAATTTCCCTGAACATCAACTTCCTGATGGTTTCTTTAAATGTGATGTTTCAAATACATTCAAGTATGTGCAAATAAAACTTCTCTATTAACATTTTATCGAATGGCTGAGGGGAGAGATAGAACTGTAAAAAAGACAATCGGTTGTATAGAAGAAAAGGGATACTAAGAATAATGATGCTGATAACATTCAACTAAGTTGAAAATCTGACAAAATTAGGTAAAAGAAAATCTTATTGAATTTAATAAAGTGAAATAAATAATGAATTATAGGGGAGGATGGGGTAAAATGGACACTTTGGACTTTTTTAAAATTATTCATAACTCAGAAACAAATTTATCAATTGAGCTCAGTTTAGGCTCATTACAAAGGGAAAGAAATGTTCTTTTCATCGAAACAAAAATTATTGAATTTCATCAACATTTCAAGCTGTCATTTATATTTAAAAAAAAGTCAAAAGTGTACATTTTACCCCCACCTCCCCTACATGATAGAAGGAAATGATGTGCAAAATAACCATTCGGAAGCATATTGCTAATTTATTAGTAAAAATAACTATACTATATACATTACAAGAGTAATTTCCCACTTGTTTTCATCCAATTATTTTTTTGTCCACTTTTTGTCTACTCAATTTTTCGTGAAATCGTTTGAAACAATGCATTCGGGTACATCAAATCACCCCTACCTTTCATCTGGGTCTACTCGTGTCTACCTTACCAACGTGACATCCCCTCTCTACGTCGTGCACGGCACTTGCTCCATATTATCTTCACAGTGCATGTATGGGTGTCTCCAGATGGACATGAAGCAACAGAGGCCAATCCCCAAGTGACAGATAATTGTTGACTATTTTTATCCTTTGTTTTTATTATCAATGCTGTGTTCAGTTCTGTCCAATCTCCCAACATGACGAGTTTATTTATTTACACAATAGGATATATTTTATTCGTTAGTGGTTTAATTTATCCACCCACAGAATTTGTATCTGCGGGTTTGACAATTCCTGAATTGTTTTCGAGTTGGTTAGGTAGTGAATACGATGAATTTGTCCAGTATCACATAAAACGTAGCATTGTCACTTTGTTCGTCCATTCATTGTTGCCTTTTGGTGAGTAAAAAACATTCTCAATGCTCCGAAAGAGCTCTCCAACGGTTGATTTATTTTTGAGAGTGGAAAATAACCTTTTATATTTTTTTTTTCGATGTGTTCTCAAGGCTACATCATTGGACTCAGTCTCCTGGGTCATTTAGATGCTGCACAAGTGTTTCTTGGCACTGAACACCCACTCTGGTTAACCTTATCCATCTGTGCACTCGTTGGACCAATTTATGCACTCAATTTAATCGTCAATTGGTCCAGGAATCATTTTTCCAAACATCCCATTGCTAAGGCCCTGGGGATTTATTGTAATGAAAGAGGAACGTGGTTGGACATCGCTGCTGATGTCAATAGGGAGTACAAAAGGTGAGGAACAGTCTTTGTCGTCTTTTCATAGAAAAACCTAGCGCATTCGTTAGAAGATTCAATTCAGGAGTGAAGCGTAAATGGTTGAAGGTCGATTTTGACTGTTTGCCAATTTTCAATAAATATCTCCGAATCTAAGGGAGATAGCCAAATTTCTGACATAACCTTTTTGCAGCTCTCAATTCGCTCTACAAAAAAGGTAATTACGAAAATTTCGTTATCTCCCTTAGATTCGGAGATATTCCGCGAAAGCTCAGATGAGTTTCGCATTGGATTTCTTTTTTTCTTTATATTAGTTTTTGGTACATTCTCTTGAAACATTCCGCTTATCTTCGCGTTTTTTTCAATAGAAATGTTTACTGGAGATTATTTTAAAGAAAAAATCAATAGAATTCGATTCTTTTGTCCAACTTATTGGGATATTTTTTATGGAAATCTCGCGGCTTTAATTTACTCAGTTTTTTATTTTATTTTCTAATGAAAAGAAAAAGAAAATAGAGTAGAGAAATGCGCAGTAGGTACAAATATTGAAGCGGAATTCTTCCATAGAATCAGCCAAAAACTAGTAAAATTTGCCATCGACTTCGTTAGGTTTCTCAGTGAATTTTTTCCTGCGGCTCTTCAAAAGAGCCATTCAATGTGAATGTCTCAGTCTCTGAATGCCCCGCTGGAAACGAAAATAGAACATCATGATGTCGTATGGGCTCACACGAAATGTTCTTTTTGCATGTTAATTTGTCATAGAAAAAAATAAATTGCAGAGTTAAGGAAATTTTTCAAATTTCGGCAAAAAGATAAGAATGATAAGGATTCAGAAGAATGCATTTTGAATATTGAATAAATCGAAATGTTAATTTTGTAATTGAACATTGAAAAATTAAAACATGTAGAAATTAAAAATGATCCCATTTTCCCAAAAATTCGATTAATCATTTGAGTCAGAAAGAAAATTAAAGTATAACAAAAAACGTCAATTTTTCATCATTTCCTCATATCACGTTTCACCAGGGTTGGGCATCTGTCGATAACGGTAGTTTTCAGGGACAATTGAATTTTTTCAGGGCTCCAAAATTTATTATTTAATAATAAAGAGGAAAATCCAATAAAGCTCAATAGGTAATGAGATTTACTTTTTCACAATGAAGATGATTTGTGACTTTGGTCTTTTGCAATGTTTGACCCCCGTGAAATTTACTCTTTATGAGGTATGGGGCTCATGTTTTTGAGTTTCTTAAAATGCCGTGAATCATACCACGTGAGGTAAAATTGTTTTATCGCCGTGTGGCATACAATATTTTATGTCTCTGTGCCCGGAAACCTTGGTTTAACCGAGGGAATCGATGTTAGAATCGCGGTTTTATGGACCTGGGGACATAAAATAATTTTTTATGCCTCAAGTACCGAGAACCGCGTTCTAACCGAACAAAGTGAAGTTAAAATACGCGGTTGATCTGTTCTCGGGACATAATATACTGTTTTTTTATAATATTTATGCGTCCAATACTGCGTCATCGACAGTCGGAATAACATAAACCATTCTAGTAACCGAAAAATGCAAACTTTTCGAAGTAATGTAAAAAATGTAAAAACCCCGTTGAGGTAATTTACGTAAATTACGTCGGTAAAATGTAATTAGTGATATTTTTGCAGTTTGGATAAGCTCCAGATACGAACGAATAGCACAACAAAAATTGTCGTGACCAATACATGGATTATGAAGGTGTCTGCGTACAAACTAGAGATTGCTAGTCAGATAAATTCCGTATTGGTGGCTTACAACGTCAATTCTTACTCGTCGACTCCCTCTCCAACTGAGTCTGTTCATTATGTTAAGTACAGGGTGAGTAGAGCAATAAAAAAAGAAATTCACCCATTTCTGAATGTAAATATGAACGTGAACTATTTTCTTTTTACTGTTATTTTGTTTTACCGAACAGATAGTAACAAGGCAACCTGGAGGAAAGAATTTTACGATTAGAATTAACGCAAGTGACGTTCAAAATCTACTAGGCAAGATCACTATGCCAACGAGGACATTATCCTCGGTTCAGGTGCCCCAGACTGTTACTGAAATCGCGGTTTTCGCGATTAAACAAGAAGTTGCGAAAAATCCAACTTATAAAACTACTCAGGTACGAAAAATTCTTTTATGTTTAACATAAACGTTTATTTCCATTTTCGAAGAATCAAAATGAATTGTCAATATTAAATTCACGAATTCAATATTGAATTTACTATTGAGTCTCTGGTTTATATGATGTCAACAAATCCTGATGATAACAAATCCTAAAATTCGTTGTTTTTTGTCATTCTATGATGTATTCGTACATAATCGGAATCTTATGACAAAAAAAAATATGGGTAGTTGCAAAATTTTAGGATCTGCTAAGAGAAATAAACAGCAAAAACTAAAAAATCCTTTTCTCATGATTTAATAGATATAAAGTAAAACAGATACTTAGGTATGTTCGTTGAAATATAACGAACATTTTTAAAAAATGTTGAAATCGGATGAAAACTGCGGTGCAAGGAGCATTTTTAAGCTAAAAACGTGAAAAATGCTGTTTTTGGTGGATATATGGGGCAAAACGGGCCGTGTGCGAAATTTTTATTATTTTTTAATATATACCAAAAGTCCTCCAATGGCTCTTAAAGCCAAGCGAAGCCTCAAATTTCACCGCGGTCTCCCTTTAAGGGGAGAGTTACTTTAAATCATTACACATGTGCATTTTTTGTGTCTAATTTAGCAACTGGAACAGTGTGCTGTATGTATGCAAGCAACATCGAATGTCAAATTGACCCGAAATTGTCCAGATATTCCGGAGATGGATGGTATTCCTGCGTGTAGAAGTTGCAATTGTCCTCCCATATTTTGTATCGACTGCCTCGCAAAATGGTAAGAATATTCTCCCAATAATTCCTGCTTCCAGTCCAGGTTGTTAGTAATTAACTCGTGAAACATAAAACATTTGGATGAATGAACCGAAAATTAATCCTTTGTGATCCCCACAGGTTCATCTCAAGCTCTCAGCACAAGCCCAAAAACGTCACGGAGATGAAGAGCAGCTGTCCCCAGTGTCGGTCGCCCTTCTGCCTCCAGGACGTGAGCCTCGTCACCTCAGGATCTCCAAGCACACCCCCCGCCCCTCAAGCACCCTCAACAGAAACTCAATAACTGTCCCAAGTCATATCCCCTTCAATCCTGTAAATAATAAACATCATTCCAAATTTGATTGTCTGAATTATTATTTATCATTTCTTGGGCAATTCTTAGTGAGGCTCCTTAGCAGTCGTGTTCTTTTCCGTTTCCTCTTCCCTTTCTCCGACTTTTCGTCCCCCTTTTTCGTATCCTTTCCATCTCTCTCATTGTGATAGTTCGCCATGTTTTTACTGAGTCCGCGCCTGGTTAGCTGGGGTACTTGGTTGCCCTCTACCTTTGTAGCTCTAGTTTATCTTCTCTTATTTTCAAATTATTGTGCTTATGCTACTTCACATGAATGTCTACCTTAAGTATACTCTTGTTATTTCTGCTATATGGCTTCAGCCATAGTTTTTGCACAACATAATGTGCAGTTAATAAATAAATAAATCAATCAATCAATCTTTTGAGTGGAACATGTAACACGTGTTTAGTCTTCTCAGTAGCTGTACCTCCCGTTCTCAACCAAATCACTAATTAACCATGAGCCGAAGCTCAATGTTTATGATCATTAGCTCCTGGAAACTCTTCAGGCTCTCCAACAACACCCTCTGCCCCTATATAAAATCCAATAGTTGGGCAAAATAGACACTTTTGACTTATTTTGAAATGTTAATGACGTATAATACAACTCGTCTCTTATTTTCGATTTATAAATAAAGAACCAAGTCAAGTGTCTAAATATTTTAACCAATGTAAAATATTCCAGCATTCATTTTCACAATTTCGATTTATTACTCGTATTAAATGGGATTAATTGAACTAGTCGTCTCAGATTACAAAGTGATCCATTCTGACTCAATAGAATAATTCATACATCCCCTAGTTATCTATCAACTACTAAACGAGGTGGAAATTTCAAGTCCTCTGAGCACAGCCAATGCTCCTCGAGGAACCCTTGGCAACAGCTCGATAACTCCTTCAATTCATTCTTTTTTCACCGACGCAAAGAATCAAAATCCTTTAAATTTTATTCTCAAAATTATCATTTATTACTCAGACAAAATAAGATTAATTAACCTAGTCTTCTTACACAACAAATCTCCTCACTCAACTAAATAAAAAAATTAATTAGAGTCCATAATCATCACTGTATACATCCTTCTCTCCCCCCCCCCCCCCCCCCCCCCCCCCCCCCCCCCCCCCCCCCCCCCCCCCCCCCCCCCCCCCCCCCCC